TTCTCCAATAATTTTTTTATTTTTTCTTGTTGTATTCTTTTAATACACACATCCGGCCGGCATGGCGTAATGGGAAGTAGCAGTGCTGTCGTGAGTTATGCTGACACGCAAATGAACACATCCTTCTATAATTCGTTTATCTGTTTGATGGTAAACTGGTGCTTGCATATAACAAGAAGTTAAACCCGCCATCAGTTTACTTCTAAGCAACTCACGAAAAAAGGAGCCATCAGCATCCTTGTCAGTGGGTTGATTGCTGCTGTTTACCATTTGCTGTGTACCACAGCCTCGCATAGAGAGTGAATACGCCATGTCTCGAATTTTTGGCCGGAAAACACATATAACTAGGATGATTGGACTTGTAAAAAATTATGTTCAGAACTCTCATTCAGAGGAAATGTGCACTTGAGCAAACGATTAACAAAAAAAGATCTAAAAGCATCATTAACATTTTTTGACGTTTTTGAAGTAGTTGTAAAGGCAGCCAGTCTAAGAATCACAGTTTTATTGATCTGAAGTCGTTTGCACGACTTTTTTCATCTCAGTTTTTGCTCAATTTTTATTAAAACTACATGCATTGGCTGGCATCCAATGGCATAAGCAGCCTGGGCTACCCAAATTTTGTCGCGAAAAATAAGCACTTTTACAATTAATGTTCCGAATTTGTTAAATAGTAACTTTCTAAGCATCGCTGTAAAGTGTCAGAGCAAATTTTTGTACAAGAAAGCGAAAGCATCCGCATGAGTTCATTTCTCAAAAAACCAAAGCGAAAATTACAGTTTGGAAACGAAAAAACACCGTATCGTCAAGTGGTCACTGTTGTGGAATTTGATCGTACCAAGAATTTGGCGATGAATATTCTCGGGATGGCTCGCGTCAATGCTTTCTATGAAAAACTTTCGGTTCGAATTGAAGAGTGAGTACAGCTTCCAGCTCTGATGAAAATCACCAATAAATTCCTGCAAAAACAATTAAGCACTTATTTCACACCCGTGAAATGCAAAATCTCAGTTATTTGTCGCTTCCAAAAGGGTATTGCTACAGACACTAACAAGACTCGGCTGCTGTCTTTCATGCAGTGTTTAAGTGAGCATATTGGAAACAGTTTGAGCTTGAGACCCATTCTAAAGTCTGGGAGTTTATAGTCCGAATAAAGTGGATGCGAGTGTCATCGGAGGAGCAATGCTTCTTGGCAATGACGATTTTTATTTGTGCGGCAACAAGACGCTTACCACCAACGCAACTTC